ATCGATCAGCAACAGATTCAAAACCTTGTCGAAAGTATGCCTCGACGTTTGCAAGCCGTCATACAAGCAAAAAGTGATGATATAAAATATTAATTATAAACTTTGTCTTTATTACATTTTTTTTTTCACTTGCGTACTTTATTTTGTTCATGATAAATTTGATAATAAATGTAACGGACTTGACTATTAAAGGATTTCGAATTGTTTTTGAAATTTTTGCAAAGTAGACTAAAATACCTTTCTTTTACCTCATTCATCATTATGCTATCTGCCAGGACTGGCGAGTTATTTACATAAATGTGAAAATGTTTGGAGTGCGTACTTTATTTTGTCCAGTACTGTATTTCTCAAAATCTTCAATAACCAAGGTTGACTCCTATAGCCTTTTACGAATTTTTGTCTTTGTTGTTGATAATCATAAGTATATGTTTAAAAATAGAAACCAAATTTAAGCTTACATAATACGTACGTTATACGTTTTATAAAATGACACGCAAACTGATTACATTATTTTATATATTTGTTAAACAGAAAATAAATCTATACTAAGAAGAAGCAACTTTGACATTTCGTATTCTCAGTTATCTGGAGGCGTAACAAAAGAACGACAAGCATTATTATTTTTGCATATATATCTAAATTATATTTATTTTCCGAGAACGTATCGTATCAATCAATTATAAATAATAAAATTTCAATTAATTAATAATAAAATTAGAAATTGTCTTAATTATTTTGAAACTTTTGTCTGTGTCAAAAATAATAATTTAATTACTGTACGATAGTTCGGAATGATAATCCGAATAAATCACATATACATTCGTGTGATGATCAGTGTGTTTATCATGAATAACTAGCGATCCAATCAGAATCTGTAAATAATCTCGGAATGCCGGTAAACCGCATAAGATACGTAAGAAGAATCCCTACGTCGGCAGTTGCACGACAATCGGCAATCGGTCGAAAATAATAGGCGGAGGATAGTGGTGTGGGTGGGCACTTCTGGTCTCGAGCCGAGCTTGTAAGACGCAGAGAGACAGTCTGAGGTCAGAGAAAGGCGATGGATCGTGCTTATCGTGCATCGTCGCCAAACCCCGCAAAACCTCTCTCTCTTCCTCGACTACCTCGACTCTCCAATTTCAACCCCCTTTTTTTCTCTTTCGCTCTTTCCTGCTTACTCTTTCAGCTTCCCTGCACCTTCAGCTGACGTTTGCGGAAAAAAAAGAAAAAAGAAGCATGAAGACTCGTGTGTTACGAAACGTGTGCCATGTTCGATCCAATTAAATTTTACTAATCTAGTACGATAGGAGATGCGATTCGAGGAAGATCATTAAAAAAAAAATTATTAAGAGAAAGAGACATTTAATAATATTTCTCGCTTTAGCGTATATGTCTTTCTTTTTTTTCCAATCTATGACAGAATTGGCGAGACGCATTTCTTCTGTTTCAGTTTTGGCCTTCTGAACGAAGATAGAGGATCTCTTTCGGAGTGATTATCGGCTATGCCTCTGAACATTACTTTAACAATGATGCTTCAAATGATGTCACGAAACCTTTGACGTAATCACTCTCTTAATCGATCGGTACCAGAAAGCTTCTGCCAGCACTTGTGATCGATTTTGTCATCGTTCCACCGTGCCACAGATAGCAGTTATATGTGACAATAATCTTTATACCTTTTTTTATATAATCTGTATTTCTAACTATAAATTACTAAAAATCACGCTATTTAACTTTGTTTTTTCATATTGTAAGCTATAATAAAATCATCTTGGCACAAGTATTTTATTTTTATTTAAATATTAATTTTTTTTTAAGTCTTTTTTTTGTTTCACATAAATAAGACTCATATATAAGTACAACAATGTAATAAACGTTGATTTATAATTTTCTTTCATAATAACATTTATCTATACTGTTCAGTGAAAGTGAGAGAGAGGGAGAGAGAAAAAAAAAAATTATATATCTTCTATTTTTCTAAGAACAATTCAGTATGACATGCATTGACGTTCTAAATACAAAATACAGAGAGAGAAAATTATTATTCAGATCGATATTTCTGAAGGATCTTCTTTTATATCTTCTTCTCTCGTGTTTCTTCAAATGTCTGACTGTTTTCCTTCGCGAAGGAAATACGACGCATATAAAGTACTTGCAGTAAATATCTGTTAGTCTTAAAGCCATGTGTGAGATATCGATAGAATGCAATAGTCGCATGAAGGTAAGAGAATGCGCCAAGAAACGAATTATATAAGGAGCACGTTGAGTGGTGCGGCATAATCCAGTATTCCCAAGTGCTGTTCTATGCCCAATGACCTGATTGTTGCGGTTCGGGAAAAGCGCATTGAGAATTGCCTGTGAGGATAACAATTACATGATAGTTCGCTGAAGTATCTGCACATTTTAAATTTAATTATTTAAAAATGATTGTTAACACACATACATATATACCTACTAAATTCTTTAAAAAAAAGTATTGACAAAGAGACAAAGTATGGAATTTTGGCTAAATTATATTAATGAATAGAGTTTAAATGTAAATTATAAAATAATTATTAAAACATATTTATATACGTAAAAAACCTTGAAGAAAAAAATCTTAAATTTAAAATAAAATTAACGGTTTTGCATCTCCATAATTTCAAAACGATTTGAATATATTCAAATGCGAAGATGCTAATTGAAGAACTTTGTTCACGAGAATACTTAATTAAGAGCATTATACACATAAAAATATCATGAGATCATGAGATCGTGAGAATCGTTTAATCACGTCGAGATACGAATAAAAATTACGTCTTCAATCACAGTACAATTAGTTACAGTGCTGTTAATGAGATCACGAATAACTTGATTTCTTTCAAGTTACGCGAAGCGAAAAAGGGTAAGCTCCAAGATAGGGATGACTTAATCAACATGAATTTCAAAATTAACGAGATTTATTAAAAAAATTAAAGACCAATTAAATGCAACGTTTCTTTTAATTATTTATTAAAATTTTCTTATTATGTTTTAAATATATGTCCTCTTTAGTGATTTTTGTCTCCCTTTTGCTTTCTGTCTTCTATATGGTCTTCTACTATATTTTGCACTCGTATATACATGCATACGCACACAGTCACAGAATTGCATCTGCACACATCGACTCGTGTGTATAGTCTTTCGATAAGTGGCCACTCGACACCGTACGAACGAGACGAACACGTACCTTTCTATTCGTGGCACAATTTTCGGGGATCGATATATCGAGCGTGCTGGTGAATTCAAATTGCGTGGTAGTTAGCGCTTGTCAGGGATTTGCGGCAAGAGAGTCTAAGGCTGCCTTCCCATGGAGAAAGAAACCACGGAACGGAATATCGACAGAAAAGAGACAGGATGAGGATAACCCTCATCCTATCTCTTTTCTGTCAATATTCCGTTCCGTTGTTTCTTTCTTCGTGAGAAGGCAGCCTAATGAGAAGAAACGAAGGAAGACATGAGGAATACATTGTCTTCCCCCAAATATCATCTAACTTTATATTACGCTATATTTAATATTTCTTTCAAATTTATTAACATATTAGTATTAAGTATCTTCTGATACAGTTTATTACATAATGCAACTTATAAACTGTTTTCAAAGTATGATTTAGCTCATAGATTTTCTTTAATCAATTTAAACATTTTTTTCTTGACAAAAACATTAAGAGAGATATTTCGTTAAGCACTAAAAGTATCAAGCAGTCAATGACAGCTTCTATATTTTTATCGCGTTTATCGCATATATTTTAGATTAATATTATATTTTTTGTATAAAAAAAAGGATTCTAAAGATTTTTTACTTTTTAATAAATATATCTACTTTTTAATAAATATCCTTTATACCGATGAAATATTTGATTTTTCATTATTTTCATAGTAATTTATTCGCTTTGTCTGTTTAATGAGTAAAAGGCAGTATTTCTAAGTATTAAATGCACTTATCCAATATATTTTATTTTAATTTGAGTTTATTGTTCCGATTATAGGAAACTTATTCCGTAATACACCTAGAAAGAATTATATCGTGAAATATTAACATGATCTGGGAAAATGAGAAAATGCAATAAATTAAAACAATTTGGAAATCTCAGGAATTTAATCCCGGATAAAAGTGACTTCATGATTTATAAATGTGTTTTGCGATTCGCGTTTGAGCGAAACATCAAGAGAATTTATGAATACAAATGTGAATACAAAATTATGAATACAAAAAGCACCGATAACGATGTTGATATGCCGCATTCAGGTAAATTCAAGGGACGTGTAAACCAATGACACGAGTATTCCGCGGGGGATTACCAGCACCTTCCTTCCTTCTTCCTCTCCGATCCAGAGCGCGATACTCCAGATTCTATCCGCCGCCTGCACGTCATGAGCGAGAGATTTACCCCTTCTTACCTCAGTATTTCTTCTCTGTGTCTCTGTTAAGTGGAGGAGAAGGTGGGATTGGCGGCAGAAAAGTATTGCCGTTGGTATACATCACCTTTACAGTTGCCACCGCCACCACTACCACCACCACTACCATTGATCACCGCCACCACCTGCACCACCTCCACGTCGTCGTGGAGCTCGTCTATACGCAACGATGAGGATTCTGCAGATTTGACAAAGTCGTTTCAAGAACTCAGTCGTCGACTGCCCGTCCTAGTAAATTCGGGGCACCGATTAGGGATCTTCACTTCGTTCGACCGTGCCGAAATCTTGCTTTCGGATTATTTTGAAATTATTATTCTTTTTTTATTTTCTTTTTTTTGTTCTATCTCGTCTCAAGTGAACTGTTTTCTTTTTTTCCTTTTCTTTTTCGTGTATCGTTTTGATTTATACGAATGCGAAAATGCGTTAACGTGAAAGTATATGTCCATGGAGGAGACACACGGAGGCGGCATGTCTTCCGCAACGCTCTCGTCCATCTTGTTCCTTCTACTTTTCAGTCGTGCCGCGAATGCTCAGTAAGTAAACAGTTTATAGTATAATAAAAAAAAAACAAGTTTTAGGACTGATATAGCAAAATAAAAAATTCTTTTAAAAAATGTATATATTTTTAGCAGTATTAATTCATTATCACAAGCTAAAAAAACTCTCTCTCTCTCTCTCTCTCTCATTCTCTTTGTCTCTGTTTTTTTTATAGAAGAGAGTGGTCTAAATCGGATCTATTTGCAGTTTTTGCTCTCTATAAGGCATAAATAAAGTCCGATCGTAAAATCGAAGGTGCTGTTGGAAAGATCATTTAATTCCCTTCATTTTTGCTTCAGATTATTTTGACGTATCTCTCACTTGTGTTAAACTATAATGGAAAATCTATCTGCATAATATCATCAACGATTCTATATTAGAAGCACCTAGCTACATCAGGAATAGTTTTCAACTTGTCGAAAAACTAAAAGATATTTGCATCGAACCTGACTATTTGCTAGTATCATTAGATATAGTTTCTTTGTTTACGAATATTCCCATAGAGTTGGTGTCTGATGGTATTGCAAAGAGATGGGATTATATATCGGGGAAGACTGTTATACCATTAAATGAGTTTTTAATTGCTGTTCGTTTGGTTTTAAACTCCACCTTTTTTATGTTTAATAACAAATATTACAAACAGATTTTTGGT